CACACACACACACACACACACACACACACACACACACACACACACACGCATACACACACACACACACACACACACACACACACACACACACACACACAAAAACACAAAATCAATAAAAAAAAAGACACTAAAACAAACCAGTTTCAGGACTGACTGGATGAGTTCCTGAGGAAGGCTGAATGCCCATTAATAAATTCCTCCTGAAATGACTGCAGCATGATGGGAGTTGTACAGCTAGGTCCATTTCTACAGCATTTAGACACTGACACAAAGTTTGTTTTTTACCTGTTTACTGAAACATATTCGAGTTATAGTTATATAATGGACATAAATCCAGACTTTCAACTTTTATTTGAGGGTATCCACATTAAAACTGGGTGAAACATTTAGGAGTTCAGCTCCTTCACATGAGCCCACACTGCTTTTAAAGGGACCAAAAGTAATTGGACAATAAACTGAAAGGTGTGCTGCTTGTATTTGAAAGGTTTTGCTGTGAAGGAAACACGAGGTCAAAGGAGCTCTCCATGCAGGTGAAACATATGTAGCTTACCATCATCAGTGTGTGAATGTGTGTGTAATCACACACACATCATGGCTAAATGATAGAAGTGTAAATCTCTTTGGAGTCTGATGGGACACACACATATACATATATATATATATGCGGACATGAAAGCGCCTGCTGCGAAGCAGGAGGAAAGGAGAGAGGAAAAAGAAACTTATTTCTAGCGGCAGAGCAGGTTGGAAGATGGCTGTTTGATGTTTTTTATTGTTTTTTAAATCATCCTATAGGCTCTGACATGTTAGATAAATTTGAAAATGAGGTTTTTAAAATATCCGTAAGACTTGAGAAAATACATAAGATTGCTCTATACGTCCATATACCTGCAAAATGACGTAAAATCCTTATAATTTACAGACAATCTGCACAAGAGGGAGGTACTGTCATGGTTTGTCATTTATGCCTTGGTTTTTCCTAGTGTTTCTATTAGAGGTGTCCCGATACCAATACCAGTATCGGTATCGGGTCCGATACCAGCATCAAGTACTCGTACTCGTACTCGTAAAAGCCGGCCGATACTCTTAACCGATACCGCTTTTGTCCCCTTCTTTGTTTCTTCTGTGCTGCGCTGCAGCACAAAGGGTAAACAACAATCCATACCAGGCGGGGGCGCTAACGCACTGACAAGTTATTTCCGACCGCACCCACGAACAACAGAAGAAGAACGATGAGAAGAAGAAGAAGAAGAAGA